ACTGGATTCAGACTCAGCTTCTAGAGCATTCTCACCTGGTCTATTGGGCTTTAGCAGAACTAAACCAGAGGAGATAAATCCCTGAGCAGAACCGCTCAGAAGGAGCAGACTGAGTCAGAGTGACCATCCCAGAGCCAAAATGGCTGCTGCAATCCATCCGCACTCTCAACGGGTTCCTACATCATTTTTAGATGTTCTGTCCTTATTGGTGACACGCTGTAGCGTACCAAATCTGCTCGGGTCCGGCTTCCTGCCAGTGACGTTACGCTACATGATTGGCTGAACACTGCCACGATGTAAAACACAGTGGTTGGCCAGTCTTGCCAACTCAGCGACTATGTGTAGCGATTTTTCAGACCCCTCCAGCGACTCTTTTTCAAAAAAGCGACTATGGACAAATCTAGCAACTTTTCTGGTGTCACTGGCGGCTTTTGGAGACTCTTAGGTGAAAGCACGTATCGTTCCTACTCTTGTCCTCCTGCGGCAGGTGCTGCCGTGGGGCGCCTCCCTCGTCCCAACCCCGTTCTTCTTCTTCTGTTTCTGGAGAAACTCTAAACCTTCCCTTCATTGCTTTATTAATGACATTAAAACACATTTTTCTTCTCTTAAAAAGATAAAAAATGACAAATATGCCAAAAAATGTAGCTTGATTCCTCCCAACATCTGCTATTCTAAGTGCATTCACCTTTTTGTTTTTATTATTTCTATGATACTGTCTATGTTTGGTTTAAATGTTTGCTGATAGATCCCCTGTTAGTTGTTTTACTTTTCTGTTTTTTCTTTTATTGTAATTAATCTTTATCTGTTCTTGTAAACCTTTGATGTTCTCTCTGAGAGTATTTTTTTAAGTAAATGTCTATGACTTAATAAAAAAAAAAAATAAAAATAGAGAGGCTTGACCAACATGATGACCCACTCTCTCTGTGAGCAGGAAAGCACAGCCTGAGTGTGGAGGGAAATCTTATTAGTTGAATAAAAATAATAATATTAATGACCATTATTTGCTCACATTGTCATTGATTCTTTGTAGTCTTTTTTGTTCTATTGAGAATATTAATGTTAATGTAATATAAAAAAAAATTTATGGTTGAAAATGTTCATATTCTACCATGATTTGTAGGCTCCTTTTGGACCACAAGGGGAAAAATAAATAAATTAGATTAAAAAAAATAAACAAACATTAATGAACAGAAAAAGTAGCTCTATATATTCTGAGTGTTTTCACTCACTTTGTCTCTATTTACGTTATTTCTCCCACGGCGTCAATAACATGCACATCCCATCATGTGGCAGATTATGCTAATTAGGCAATGACGTCATTCAGCGACTTCTAGCACAGCCAATAGCTGCTTTCCTTACTGAGGAGTTACCAACACTGTGGTTGCCCAGACAACAACAATACAGTGTCCATGTGCCGAGTCGGGAGCATCTGTAGCGTTAGCGTGTCTAATGATTGTTGAAGTTTTACCTGATCGATAACAAAACTGAACAAATCTGTTTCTGGTGAACAAAGTAACTGTTAGACCGTGATATAAAGGGCTGGGTAGCGCTGTGGCTAGCTGTGCTCAGTAGCTAACAGGTTAGCCTCTTTTAGCTCACTCAGTTAAGCTACACTATGTTTCTACAAGTAGAATAACTGTTATATTTGTCTAAAATCTCTATGAAAGTCATTTTTTAGATTTCCCACTTTCCCGCCTCTGACCTGAGATCTTAATAAAAAAATAAAAATAAACTGAGACTTTTTTTGTCTCCGTGTTAAATAGCAGAGCTCAGTCTGTCTTAGAACGCAGGACTTTCCTTCCAGACTGACAATGATTGTTTTCTACTTTCATCTACTACTAAAATAATAGCAAATATAGGTAATATGTTGAGGTCCTTAAGAAACGGGTGCTACACAGTTTGTCCGAGTGGAGTTGCCGTATATTGACGTCACAAGAAGGGGCGGGGCCCCGAGCAGATCTGTTACCTACAGTGGTTAAACTTCATGTTGCACTGTAGAAGTTCACAGAAGCTAACAATGGCCACCAAACCAAAACTTTAACGCGTTAACAACCTTTAGTTTTGAATCTAAGCTTACATTGTTCAACACAGAGCTTTTAGCAGGTTGCTAATGCTAGCTTTGCTAGCTTAGGGTAGCAAACACAGCAGCAGCAAAGGAGAGCCTCATATCCCTCATGAATGAAGTGATTGTTCCCTAAAGGTAGCTCAACAGAAATGAATGCCAGCCTTCCAGCGACAGAGGGACGGGGTCAGCTCATGATGCCTTTACTATCCCCGCTTCCGTCTCCTTGAACCCCGCTCACACTGAGCCTGGTTCTGCTGGAGGTTTCTTCCTGTTCAAAGGGAGTTTTTCCTCTCCACTGTCGCTACAAGCATGCTTAATGTGAGGGATTGCTGAAAACTTTTAATCAATCTGCCTGGATGATCTGGTGAACTGTAAAGTACCTTGAGAGGATGTGAATTGGCGCTATAGAAATAAACTGAATAGAAATGAACTGATCTCCTCCATCTTCCTTCAGGTTCCACTGAAGGTCAGAGTTCTCCTCCACCTCCTCTTCCCTCTGCTTCCATCATTTCACTGCCAGGCTCTCATCTCAGCTCGCTGAACAACCATGGCTACTTTTTTCTAAGGATGAATTGATAACTAACAGAGAAAATGGAAAAAGCATCAAATTGTCTCAGAGTAGTCCTAAAACAATTTTATGTCTTTTAGCATTCTTCAGTGAGTTAAGGATAGAAATATGTAATTTTAGAACCATGATTACATATTTTTTGGAAACTAAATAAATATATATGCAATAAATATATATAGATAAATATGTGGTTGTGGAAATGAGTTGATGGTAAAGATGGTGTGGTGAGTTAGCATAGCAAGGCTACGTCCGCCTGCTGCCATGCTGGTTTAGTTCAGCTGCTCTCATCACAGCTAAATGTCCCGCCCTAAAAATGACTACTGATGCGTGATCAGAACCACTGATCTGAAAGGATTTACCAGAATAAGCCGAACGACAGATCCATGGTTTCTAAAGGCCTTCGTTCAACGATTAAGCTAATAGTTAGCGGTAACTTTAACAACCAGGAGGATTTAGAAAGGAGCTGGGATCAGCTTCATTTCAGAGGCTTCGTATATTTTCCAAGTTAATCCCATTAAAGGGAATATTGTAATGTGACGACAGGAATATTAAATAAATGACAGTGAGATTGATAATCTGTCTGCTGCGACAGAGTATTAGGGCCAGGCTACAGGTTTTTATTTTCTTCTATTTTATATATATATATATATATATATATATATATATATATATATATATATATATATATATATATATATATATATAATATATAAAGTCATAAAATTATGAGAAAATTATGAGAATAAAGTTGTAATATTATCAGAATTAACTCATCATACCACAACCTGTTTCAATAAGAAAGCTTGGAGCTCCGCCCAGCAGATGACGTCCGACCAGCTCCACCAATCAGCAACCAGAGTCCACTTTGACATCCTGCCCTGTTTGATGCTGCTGCTGAAACATTTCCTGATTTGTCAAACCGATGCTAAAGTATAACTTCACATGATGCTCATATTACGACTTTATTCTCATAATTTTACAAATTTATTCTCATTATGACTTTATTCTCGCAATGTTACCACTTTATTCTCGTTGTGACTTTATTCTCGTAATGTTACCACTTTATTCTCGTTGTGACTTTATTCTCGTAATGTTACCACTTTATTCTCGTTGCGACTTTATTCTCGTAATGTTACCACTTTATTCTCGTTGCGACTTTATTCTCGTAATGTTACCACTTTATTCTCGTTGCGACTTTATTCTCGTAATGTTTCCACTTTATTCTCGTTGTGACTTTATTCTCGTAATGTTACCACTTTATTCTCGTTGCGACTTTATTCTCGTAATGTTACCACTTTATTCTCGTTGCGACTTTATTCTCGTAATGTTACCACTTTATTCTCGTTGCGACTTTATTCTCGTAATGTTACCACTTTATTCTCGTTGCGACTTTATTCTCGTAATGTTACCACTTTATTCTCGTTGCGACTTTATTCTCGTAATGTTATCACTTTATTCTCATTGCGACTTTATTCTCGTAATGTTACCACTTTATTCTCGTTGTGACTTTATTCTCGTAATGTTTCCACTTTATTCTCGTTGTGACTTTATTCTCGTAATGTTACCACTTTATTCTCGTTGTGACTTTATTCTCGTAATGTTACCACTTTATTCTCGTTGCGACTTTATTCTCGTAATGTTACCACTTTATTCTCGTTGCGACTTTATTCTCGTAATGTTACCACTTTATTCTCGTTGTGACTTTATTCTCGTAATGTTTCCACTTTATTCTCGTTGTGACTTTATTCTCGTAATGTTACCACTTTATTCTCGTTGTGACTTTATTCTCGTAATGTTACCACTTTATTCTCGTTGCGACTTTATTCTCGTAATGTTACCACTTTATTCTCGTTGCGACTTTATTCTCGTAATGTTACCACTTTATTCTCAGTGCGACTTTATTCTCGTAATGTTACCACTTTATTCTCGTTGCGACTTTATTCTCGTAATGTTACCACTTTATTCTCGTTGCGACTTTAATTCTCGTAATGTTACCACTTTATTCTCGTTGCGACTTTATTCTCGTAATGTTACCACTTTATTCTCAGTGCGACTTTATTCTCGTAATGTTACCACTTTATTCTCGTTGCGACTTTATTATCGTAATGTTACCACTTTATTCTCGTTGTGACTTTATTCTCGTAATGTTACCACTTTATTCCCGTTGCGACTTTATTCTCGTAATGTTACCACTTTATTTTTGTTGCGACTTTATTCTTGTAATATTACAACTTTATTCTCATAATTTAACGAATTTATTCTCGTAGTTTTATGACTTTATTCTTGTAATGTTACCATTTTATTCTCTTAATGTTACGACTTTATTATCATAATGTTATGACTTTATTCTCAAAATTTTATGACTTTATTGTCGTAATCTTACGACTTTATTCTCGTAATTGTATGACTATTCTCTTTGCAACTTTATTCTCGTAATTTTATGTATTTATTCGCGTAATTGAATGACTATTCTCTTTGCAACTTTATTCTCGTAATTTTACGAATTTATTCTCGAAATTTTACGACTTTATTCTGGAAATAGAAAAAAAAATAAATCTAGCTGGCCCTAACCCTCCGTCGTAGTCTGCTGTTGAACAAACAGGAACATTTGTTGCGTTAGACAGTAACTGGTCGGACCAGCAGGAGCAGCATACCAATATGTTGGAGGGAGCTGGGTAACCGGATCTGTTCCGCTCCGGTTGGTTAGCAACCAGCTACAACGCCTTATAACTGGGGACAGTCTGCGCTGTCCTCTCATCCCCAGCAGGGTGCAGCAGAGGACCACTCCCAGTTCCACAGGGGCTGCATACCTGCTCCATGTGAGAGATTGCTGCAGCGTTTTGTTTCTAAACGTTTTCGATCTGATGCTGCTGATGAGGAGAAATGACGAATCAGCGTCTCCTGGATCCACAGACAGCTGATCAGAGGCAACCTTGAAGCGAAGAGCAGTAAAGGTTCTGGAAGCGGCTCAGAGTGGAACCCCGTGGATCTTCCCACAGCTGCTGGTCTCTGTGAGGTTCTGCTGAGGATGAGGAGGAACTTGTTCTGGATCCATCTCATTCCTGCTGCTTTACCCACAATGCCGTTCTTTACAAACACGGATCCGTTCCTGACTTTAGGGAGGATGTTTACATAGAGCACAGAAATAAGCAGCCAATCATGTTCTTAGATAGGAACATAAAGCGCTGACAGTCGCCAGCTCTTCCTGTTCTTCTACTCATCTGAATTCTTCCTAGATTATCGCAGTAAAAGGCTGGTTTGGAGGAGAGCAACTGGAATAAGTGCATAGATGGAGAAGCAGGAGGAGCCGACCTTTTTTGGTCCCTTCAGGTCGGTCCACTGCAGACAACATGGAACTACAGACAAACACAGTGCTGCACTCTGGTTAATAGGATTGGACGGTGAAGAGCGTGGACGTCCAGTGGGTCTGCCACACCGCAGACTCCACGTCATGTGACCTCAGCGAAGCCGATGTGATTCTGTCCAGAAGAGGAGAGAAAACATTAGATCCACTTTAATCTGACAATTTACTGAAGACTTAGCAGCAAAGAAAGATGCATAGACACAGAAGGATGCAGACTGACACACACACACAGACACACAGACAGACACACACACACAGACAGACACAGACTGACACTGAAAGACGCATAGACACAGAAGGATGCAGACTGACACACACACACAGACAGACACAGAAAGACGCATAGACACAGAAGGATGCAGACTGACACACACACACAGACACACACGCACACAGACAGACACACACAGACAGACACAGACTGACACTGACAGACACAGACTGACACTGACAGACACAGACTGACACTGACAGACACAGAAAGATGCATAGACACACACACACAGACAGACTGACTGACACACACAGACTGACACTGACAGACACAGACTGACACTGACAGACACAGACTGACACTGACAGACACAGACTGACACTGACAGACACAGAAAGATGCATAGACACACACACACAGACAGACTGACTGACACACACAGACACACACGCACACAGACAGACACACACAGACAGACACAGACTGACACTGACAGACACAGACTGACACTGACAGACACAGAAAGATGCATAGACACAGAAGGATGCAGACTGACACACACACACAGACAGACTGACTGACACACACAGACACAGAAAGACACAGACAGACATTGAAAGAAACACACAGACAGACACAGACGGACTCAGAAAGACGCAGACAGACATAGAAAGACAAAGAAAGGCCCAGAAAGACGCAGAAAGACACTGACAGACACAGAAAGACACAAAGAGACACAGACACACGCACACAGAAAGACGCGGACAGACACAGAAAGACACAAAGAGACACAGACACACGCACACAGAAAGACGCAGACAGACATAGAAAGACAAAGAAAGGCCCAGAAAGACGCAGAAAGACACTGACAGACACAGAAAGACACAAAGAGACACAGACACACGCACACAGAAAGACGCAGACAGACACAGAAAGACACAAAGAGACACAGACACACGCACACAGAAATACGCAGACAGACATAGAAAGACAAAGAAAGGCCCAGAAAGATGCAGAAAAACACAGAAAGACAAACAGATACAGAAAGATGCAGAAAGACACTGACAGACACAGAAAGACACACAGAGACACAGACACACGCACACAGAAAGACGCAGACTGACACTGAAAGACGCATAGACACAGAAGGATGCAGACTGACACACACACACAGACAGACACAGAAAGACGCATAGACACAGAAGGATGCAGACTGACACACACACACAGACACACACGCACACAGACAGACACACACAGACAGACACAGACTGACACTGACAGACACAGACTGACACTGACAGACACAGACTGACACTGACAGACACAGAAAGATGCATAGACACACACACACAGACAGACTGACTGACACACACAGACACACACGCACACAGACAGACACACACAGACAGACACAGACTGACACTGACAGACACAGACTGACACTGACAGACACAGACTGACACTGACAGACACAGAAAGATGCATAGACACAGAAGGATGCAGACTGACACACACACACAGACAGACTGACTGACACACACAGACACAGACAGACATTGAAAGAAACACACAGACAGACACAGACGGACTCAGAAAGACGCAGACAGACATAGAAAGACAAAGAAAGGCCCAGAAAGACGCAGAAAGACACTGACAGACACAGAAAGACACAAAGAGACACAGACACACGCACACAGAAAGACGCGGACAGACACAGAAAGACACAAAGAGACACAGACACACTCACACAGAAAGACGCAGACAGACATAGAAAGACAAAGAAAGGCCCAGAAAGACGCAGAAAGACACTGACAGACACAGAAAGACACAAAGAGACACAGACACACGCACACAGAAAGACGCAGACAGACACAGAAAGACACAAAGAGACACAGACACACGCACACAGAAATACGCAGACAGACATAGAAAGACAAAGAAAGGCCCAGAAAGATGCAGAAAAACACAGAAAGACAAACAGATACAGAAAGATGCAGAAAGACACTGACAGACACAGAAAGACACACAGAGACACAGACACACGCACACAGAAAGACGCAGACCGGAGGAAATGAGGAGAAGAATATGTTTAATGCAGAAAAACGAGAATAGAAAATGTTTAATTTTATATTTCACAGGACTGAAAAACCACAGCTGGTACCAAATACCCTTTAATAACAGAACAGTACACCACAGACTACCTCAGTCAACCTAACAAAAGCACAGACCGACTCGGTCCATTTTAGACCAACAGCAACCACCTCAGACCACCACAGACCACCTCATACCAACACAGACCACCTCATTCCACCTCAGACCTCATTAGACCACCTCATTCCTCCTCATACCAACACAGACCACCTCATTCCACCTCAGACCTCATTAGACCACCTCATTCCTCCTCATACCAACACAGACCACCTCATTCCACCTCAGACCTCATTAGACCACCTCATTCCACCTCAGACCACCACAGACCACCTCATTCCTCCTCATATCAACACAGACCACCTCATTCCTCCTCATACCAACACAGACCACCTCGTCCCACCTCAGACCTCATTAGACCACCTCATTCCACCTCAGACCTCATTAGACCACCTCATTCCTCCTCATACCAACACAGACCACCTCATTCCACCTCAGACCTCATTAGACCACCTCAATCCACCTCAGACCACCTCATTCCACCTTAGACCAACACAGACCACCTCAGTCCACATCAGCCCAGCAAAGACCACCTCAGTCCACCTCATTCCACTCAGTCCACCTTAGAACCCCACTTTCCCCCACAGACCAACACAGACCACCTCATTCCACCTCAGACCACCACAGACCACCTCATTCCACCTCAGACCTCATTAGACCACCTCAGTCCACCACAGACTACCTCATACCACCTCAATCCACCTCAGACCACCTCATTCCACCTCAGACCTCATTAGACCAACTCAGTCCACCACAGACTACCTCATACCACCTCAATCCACCTCAGACCACCTCATTCCACCTCAGACCTCATTAGACCACCTCAGTCCACCTCAGACCAACACAGACCACCTCAGTCCACATCAGTCCAGCAAAGACCACCTCAGTCCACCTTAGAACCCCACTTTCCCCCACAGACCAACACAGACCACCTCATTCCACCTCAGACCACCACAGACCACCTCATTCCTCCTCATACCAACACAGACCACCTCATTCCACCTCAGACCTCATTAGACCACCTCAGTCCACCACAGACCAACTCATTCCACCTCAGTCCACCTCAGACCAACACAGAGCTACTCAGTCCACTTTAGACCAACACAGACCACCTCATTTCACCTCAGACCAGCACAGACCACCTCATTCCACCTCAGTCCACCTCAGACCAACACAGACCAACTTATTCCACCTTAGACCAGCACAGACCAACTCATTCCACCTCGGTCCACCTCAGACCAACACAGAGCTACTCAGTCCACCTCAGACCAACACAGACCAACTTATTCCACCTCAGACCAGCACAGACCAACTCATTCCACCTCAGACCAACACAGAGCTACTCAGTCCACCTCAGACCAACACAGACCAACTTATTCCACCTCAGACCAGCACAGACCAACTCATTCCACCTCAGACCAACACAGAGCTACTCAGTCCACTTTAGACCAACACAGACCACCTCATTCCACCTCAGTTCACCACAGACCAACACAGACCAACTCATTCCACCTTAGACCAGCACAGACCAACTCAGTTCACTTTAGACTAACACAGACCACCTCACTCCACCTAAGTCCACCTCAGACCAATACAGAGTACATTTTCCAACAGACTTAGTCCCCCTCAGACCAACACAGACTACCTCAGACCACCTCAGACCAACACAGACTACCTAAGTCCACCTTTTCCAACATTCGTACATTTTCCAACAGACTCAGTCCCCCTCAGTCCAGTTTTTGGAATGACTATGACCTGGATGACTGAGAATCTTCACCAGCATCGTTTGATCTATTTAAGAACCAAAGAACTTCAGTTTAATAAATTAACCCTAACATCAGCTAACACCCGCTAGATTAGCTAACATCAGCTAAAACCAGTCAACAGTAGAGGAAGACAGACTGATGATTACATGATACTGTAAATTCTTAGTGATGACATCTGCTAACATCTACTAGCATCAGCTAGCATTACTTAACCTCGAATAACATCCGCTAAGGGCAGCTAACCTAAGCTCACACCAGTTAACATCAGCCAACAAAGCTATCATATGCTAACATTAGATAACACTAGCTAACATCAGCTCACACCACTTAACATCAGCCAACATCAGCTAACATGAGCTAATATCAGCTAACACCAGCTTTTTAGCTAACATCAACTAACATTAGCCGGCATCAGCAAAAGCCAGCTCATTAGCTAACATCAGCTAACACTGCTACATTAGCTAACATTGCTAAAACTGTTAACAATAGAGGCAGGAAGACTTTGATAATTATATAATGATACTGTTAAATTACATTCTTATTGATGAAGAGCACATCTGCTAACATCTGCTAGCATTACCTAACCTTAGCTAATATCAGCTAACACCAGTTAACATCAGCTAACATAAGCTAACTCTAGCTAAAATCAGCTAACGCCAACAAACATCGGTAGACATCAGTTGATATCAGCTGATATTAGCTTCTCTGTCCTGAGTCGTTGTGGCTCATTAAGCTAACATTATAGAGGTGAAGGGGAGCGAGCAAACAGTGGATCAAAGCCACTCCACCACAGCAGAGGGAGCAGAGAGGACGAAAGAGCAGAAATCTACAGAGTTCATTTTCCAAAAGACTTCAAAGCTTCTTTGCCTTTTATTTTTGAGATGCTGAACCCAGCTGAGACCACAGAGCCAGCGCAGGAAAGCCTGGAGGCACTGCTTCATATAGGAAGTTTCCCCCTCCTCATCATCAGTTTCCTGCAGCAGCAACATGCATGTGAGGAATCAGGAGAACAACTACGACTAAAATGATCTAAAATAATGTACTAACAAACAAACATCCTCATATCTCCATAAGCTTCTCCACGATGAGGAGAAGCTCAAAGCATTGCCAGGATGTTGGTTCTGAATGTTTCTGCTCAGTAGAAGAGCTGAACCCACCTGTGAGGCGATGTACTTCTCCAGAGGACTCTCCACCTGGCCCACGTTCAGCATGGCCATGCTGCTCTGCTGCTCAGGAAGCTCCTCATTCAGCAGCAGCTTCCCTTTGAAGTTATGGACCACACACACCACCTACGGAAACAAAGACCACCACTGAGATGTCCCGGTCCGTCAGCCTCCTGGACCTAAGGGTCCCTGAAGAGTCAAACTAAAAGGTCTTGACTGAAAATGTTCATCAAGATGTTTTTCAACTAGAAAGGAAAATAGGCAAAGGAAGATGTGAACCATCTGCCTCCATCAGATCTGTAGCTGATCCCTCCTACATCATTATAATCCTAACAAAGTGGAGGATTCACTGAAACCTGGCAGCGGAGCAGGAAGGACATGCACTCTGTTAAAGTCGGGCATACACAGTGCGATTTTTCGAATTGTTGCACCAGCTACAACTCAAAGTGTACGACAAAACTGCAGGTTATAAAAGTTCACAGCTCACGATGTTTGTTCTCACACTGTGCACTCTGACACTCTGGTGCGACCTACCTGCTCACACTGCTCAATCTGGAAGAACTCCCTTGTTCATGCATGCTCAGTGCTCGAGGTTCTGGTAAATCGGGTCATAGCTCTGCTTCAACAGCAGCGTTAGTACACAACCACCTCACGATGGCCGACTGAATTTACAACGTTTGATTTTCTCTCATAAACTTAAGCTAGGCTATCCTAATCCTGTGCCATACACCGTGATCATAATTTTGGGAACCACGGTCCATGCTTTACCCTAACCCTAGCATACCAATTGGGTGAGGCGGAGGAAGGTTTGCCTTCAGACACACAACCCCCATTCCCACTACCCTCTGGAATCGATCCGTGCAGATTTCGGCCCGAGCTTGGATCAGTTAACTGTGCCAAGCTCGACCGTTTACAAACCACGCGAGCATGGTTCCTTGCCTCCTAGTGGCAATCTACGGTACTACTGCTCTCTATGATTGAAGGAGGGAATCAAGCAAACCAACATGGCTGCACGCGTAAGATTGAGGAATTTTGGTTCTAATTGTGATATTTCATTGCTTGAGGAGAGTCAGGCGAAGTTGAATTTACTTGACAGAGTCGGCTTTTGGGAAGTGGATACGACACACGATAGTCTAATCAGGGCTTCCAGACGCAGGAAACAAGGACAGACGTTAAGGTTCATCACTGGAAATATTGTGGCACGGTCGGGAAGCTAGGATTTCTATGAATGTCTGAGATGACGCGGTCTGCTCATGCTCTCTTTGCTATCTGCGAACTGAGCCAGAACTGAACCGTGCCGAGCCCTACTGATGAACTAGTACCATGTTAGCGCGGTTCGGTTGTATCTGGCACGGTCTGGTTTAGTTCTGCAAGCTATTTACCCTCGACAGTTATCTGGGTTACCGTGCTCGGACCAATCTCGGCATAGTTTCAAAAGATCTGGTGGGTGATATCAGAAACCAAATGCTGCAAAAATAGACTGAAACATTTTTCTCTGATTTTCAGGAACTTTCTGATGCTTGAAGAGGTTAGAGTAGGGGGGGCTTTCCCCTGATTACAAAGAACAGGCTACTGTGGGGCTGCATGCTAAGCTGCTAACACTAAATGCTGGAGAACTAAAGCAGAGGTACAGGTCTGGTGCAAGTTAGGTGGAGTTTCCAGCTAAATAATTTGATTCTCTGATGATTTTGGATCATTTCATATGTTTGCTGTTGGGTAAAGAGAAGCTAAAAGGTTCAACCACATGGTAAGCTATGCTAAAACGTGTTGAGTTGTTGATAAACCTAAAACAGGCTTTATTTCCCTGAGGGTTTCAAGTCGTAGGGAAGCAGCTGTTCCAACCATTACATTTCTGAATTCTCCCGAGTGGTGCCCGACTTTACACGAGTGAATAAAGTGAATGTGATTTGTCATTTATCAAGGGGGCGGGATGGTTGTGGCCGAAGGTTCACAAGCATGTTTGGTTGTGGCCAGTTTGTCGGAAGCATCTTGCTAACCAGTTAGCATCTTAGTGCTAGTAGGTTCCCAATGGGAAATTCCATTGGGACCAAGTAGCACTAAATTTGTGACTTAGAAACGACGCTGTCAAGGAACGCTATGGACAGCGGAAACATGCAAGAGGAGGAGAGTTTAGTGTCAGAGGTCGTGGATGAGTCTCCTCCGTCATCCATTTTTTATTTAGAGGAGGAAAGCGGGGACGAAGATGTTGTGGAAGAGGACGCCAGGGCGGCAGAAGCTTGGTTTGGTGTAGAAGGCTTCCAGCCGTACATGTTTGAGCCCTTGCCTCGCAACGCTGCCAGTTCTGTTAGCTCTACGCCTGCCGAAGACACAGACGTCCATCCCCGTGAACACTGGGACGCAACTCAATGGGAAAGGAAAGGATTCTGATTTCAACTGATGGTGTTAAAGTTCATGTGTTTCCTCCATTATCATTACATTTTGATTACCAAGTTATGACCAAAAGTAATTTAATGGGAGTCCTTGTGTCTGCTAGCTACTAGCTCACTCAAAGAAGGCTAAGAATCCATTAACTAAAGGTTAGTGATTTATGATTAAGCAGATTGTTGAATAAAACATTGTTTGGCCCTTTAATGTTTTATTCACCTCTTGGATATGTATGATAAATGTTTTTGAAATCATAAAAATTGTTCTAAATTAGCCTTTAGCTACTTTTGCTCTCAAACATAAAATCATGCTAAACTGTGATGTCATTGCATCATCTTATTTATTCCGATTTCCAAACATGTTTTCCTCCTTATCTATAGTAGCTGAGTTTAGTTATGTTTCGCTAGTTTTAGTCAAGAGTTTTTAACTGTTCATCAACAATATCTGAGAATCTGAATATTATTGAATTGAATAACATATTTACCCCCCCAACAACAAATGTATTAAAGCTTTCAGGTTCCTCCTGGTCCTGCTGCTGAAAGGTTTGGTTAGCTGCTAGCTTGGGTTAGCTGTGGGGGGCCCTCTGATGACCTTTAACCTTTGACTGTGTGACCAAAGCGGGACCTTGCTGCAGACGGACTTTCTCACCAGGAAGGTGGCGATAGCCATGCCGATGATAAAGCCGGCGATGACGTCGGCCCAGTGGTTCCGGTACTCTGCCACACGGTTCAGACCAGTGAGGAAGGCCAGACACATGAAGCCCAGAGACAGTAGCGGCTTGGCCAGGCGGGTCCCCTTGGCGCGCACCGTGTACGTCACGTACATCTACGGGGACAAAGGAAGGATTAGACTAAAGACCTACCAGGGAGAACAAAACCCAGAGTAACAGATCCAACAGGTTCCACCTCCAGCACCTATGTTCAGTTCATCTGAGAAAACTTTCTTTTATTTGACTGTTCCAAACAAAAGCTTACAGAAAACCCTAAAATGAAACTTCTGCTCCACATTTTCTGTCATCAACCAACAAAGTGAGGACAGAAATGAAGATTCTCAGTCATCCAGGTCATAGTCATTCCGTAAAAGTTAAAAAAGTTTAAAAAACAATCCACTGGACTTGGTTTCCAAGGTCTGAAGACGTTTCGATCCCTCCAGCAACCTTTCTCATTTCAAATTTCTGGATTCGCAGTGAGTTTGAGGCTTTATATAGATAAGGCCTCGAATTGCTTGGAAACATGCAAATTGAAACTGACCAGTTTGGTTCCATTGTTAGCCTGAAATATCTGAAACCTGTCAGTAGCTGGGTCTCAATTCGCAGGCTGCTTCCTTCGAAGGACCCAGCCTCGGTAGGCTGCTCCGGAGGATCCTCAGCCGTTGGTAAATGGGACGGTCTAGCCTTTGGAGCACTTCCTGGTTGCGACATGACGTCATCACGTCTACCCCAAAAACAGCGCAAAACAAAACCTGACAGCTCGAGAAATATGTAAGAAACAACAAAAACAAAAAACTATATATATTTTATTTACTTGTTATTGGTGGAGGAGAGTCGGCTTTGACGGCTTCGGCGGCAGCAAAACCGGCGGCGGATTTTTCTCAGGCTGGCAGAGCGCAGTGGAGAGGTAAGATCTACCTGCTATTATTCTAACCCACAGGGCCTGCTAGTGATCAGAATATACCAGTTATTAAACAAACGCTTATCAGCAGATTGACAGATATGTTTAGATATCAAATTTTATATTTATTTGTAAGACTTGATATAAGTTTGTTTGTAACTTTAGGAATTTGAAATGAATAGTTAAATGTGTTCAAACCCTGGAAATAACTGACCTAAATCACTACTTTCACTATTACTAATGTTGTGTTGAGAAGCCAAACTGTGCTAGATTGAGAAATAAATCATTTTTTGTCTAAACTGTTATCCCCTTACTGCCTAATTTTATTTGCACTTATATATATAAAAAAATAATAATACAGAAAAAAAATCTAAACATAAAAATGAAAAAAAAAGTTAAATAGTGGATCTAGATGAAGTTAAATTTAATTTCTAATAAATCATGTAATAAAGATAATGAAAAAAATGACTGAATAAAAATACATATTTTTGTCTTTTTTTTTCTACAGGTCATAACGGCATATGCTGTCCTGCACAACATCTGCCTGGGAGCCGGTGACATCAGCCCTTGGCTGGTCCCTGATGGGTGGCTGGTCCCTGATTGGTCCTTGGCTGGTCCCTGATGGATCCTTGGCTGGTAATGGAATGGCCATTCCGGCTGCAGCTAGTGCGGCAGCCGGAATGGCCGTAGCAGCTAGCGCGGCGGCTGGAATGGCCGTAGCAGCTAGCGCAGCAGCTGGAATGGCCGTAGCAGCTAGCACGGCAGCTGGAATGGCCTTAGCAGCTAGCACGGCAGCTGGAATGGCCTTAGCAGCTAGCGTGGCAGCTAGAATGGCAGTGGCGGCTAGTGTGGCAGCTGGAATGGCCATAGCGGTTAACACAGCGGCTGGAATGGCCGTGGTGGCTAGCGCTGCGGCTGGAATGGACACAGACACATCCTGCACCTTCTGGACCGCTGGGCTCAGCCTAAAAGTTGGACATGCAGGTGGACAACAGCTTCAGATGAATCCAAATTATGTAGGCGTGAATAAATCCAGAGACAGAGATGTTTTAGCGGAAAATTTGAACCAAGCAGAGGTGCGCAGTTACACCTGAGAAAACCCTGAAGCTGAAGCAGAAAGGAGTCATTTCTGACTCGGTTCTTAGAGGACAGGTCAACCCATTCAGACCTGTGCTGAAATCACAGGATTCTTTCTTTCTGTGAGGATGAATCAGATGGTCCTGAAAGATGATGTAATGCTCTACAGGTCGGAGCCCACCATCCAGATGTTAGGTTAGATCAAATGTGATGGTAATTCAAGGCATTTATGGCAATTTCATGTCCTTAGTGACGTGGTCTGACGTTTGAACCCTTTCCCTGTAATTGGATGCATGCTGCAGCCTGTGGTCACAGCAGAAAGAGCCATTGCATAACATGAGTCATGATGTAAGGCTGCATAAACTGCATCACTCCAGGCGTTAGCATAAACCACTGCGCATGCACCCCTGCACTCTGCAGCGGCTGCTATGCTCCAACACTGTAAGTTTTAGTGACCAAATGAGCGGCCATCATAACAGGACCAAACGTCCCGTATGGGATGACCTGGACCCCACTGAGACTTTAGTGTCTGATAAATGAGAGGAAAATGTAGGTGCAGAGAGGATGATGATGCTGAAGCAAAGCTGGTTGCTAGGTCTGAAGCTAGAGCTGAGAGCTGAGCGCGGCCTTTCAATAAGAGCAGAGGACGAGCTATGGAGAGCTGATTCCTTCAGGATCAAATAAATAATATTATGGATAAATTTTCAATTAGTATTCCATTAAATAAAAAATTATCTGTTTAAAGAATTTTTTTATCTAATGTTTTTATTTCAAGATTATTAAATCAATCAAATATATATTGCATTATTTATTTATTAATTTATGTCATAATGGACACTTTTATTTGTAAAGCTACTTTCCACATTCTATGACTTTAACTTTTTAAATGTTAGGGTAAGAGTAAATGTCAGAGTTAATTTCAGGGTTAGGATTAATATCAGGGTGAGGGTTAATATCAGGGTTAATATCAGGTCTGGGGTTAGTGTCAGGGTTAATATCAGGGTTAATATCAGGTCTGGGGTTAATATCAGGGTTAATATCAGGTCTGGGGTTAATGTCAGGGTTAATATCAGGTCTGGGGTTAATGTCAGGGTTAATATCAGGTCTGGGGTTAATGTCAGGGTTAATATCAGGTCTGGGGTTAATGTCAGGGTTAATATCAGGTTTGGGGTTAATGTCAGGGTTAATATCAGGTCTGGGGTTAATGTCAGGGTTAATATCAGGTCTGGGGTTAATGTCAGGGTTAATATCAGGTCTGGGGTTAATATCAGGGTTAATATCAGGTCTGGGGTTAATGTCAGGGTTAATATCAGGTCTGGGGTTAATGTCAGGGTTAATATCAGGTTTGAGGTTAATTTCAGGATAGGGTTTAACCTCTTAAAACCCACCTCTTTCTGGAAAATTCTCTCATATTTTGCATACCCAAATGGAAAAACAAATAACTTAGGGGCTGTAAGCCAAGATTACATGTGAAATACATTATTTGAAAGCTAAGTGAGTAGAACACAGACCAAGCTGTTCAAACATGAGTCAAATTGGTTGTTTTTCTTCTCGGAAATCATAGGTCTTGTTTGAACAGCAGTAATAAAGACATTCTTGAGAAAAGGCATGTCTGGTTATATTAAATGTGTTCTACATCATGTAAACCACACATGCAGAAAATTCCAGACCTCTAGCTATAACAGTTCCAGAGCTGTTGGGTTTGGAACTCTTGGTGTCAGCTTGGAGCAGCGCTCAATGGCTCCACCTGCTGGTGTCTGTGTTTCTCTCTAAAACAAGTCTGTAATGCGGTACCCCTTTAAATAAACTACACACAATTGGGCATGTTCAAAACCTTACACCAATTACACCAGAGATTAAAACGTCACTCATGAAGCACGTCACTGGCTGAGAGGAAGTGAACCCGAAGGTGAGATTGCGGGGACTAGAGAGGTTAATTTTAGGGTTAATGTAAGGGTTAATGTCAGGGTTAGGATTAATGTCAGGGTTAATGTCAGGGTTAGGATTAATGTCAGGGTTAATATCAGGGTTAGGATTAATGTCAGGGTTAGGATTAATGTCAGGGTTAATATCAGGGTTAGGATTAATGTCAGGGTTAGGATTAATGTCAGGGTTAATATCAGGGTTGGCATTAATATCAGGGTTAATATCAGGGTTGGCATTAATATCAGGGTTGGGGTAAATGTCAGGATTAATGTCAGGGTTAATATCAGGGTTAGGGTACTTGCCAGGGTTAAAGGAATAGTACACCCAAAACATGATTAGCCTTCATTTTCTACTCACCCCCATGCTGAACAACACTCTGGAGTACTTTTTTGATATCTCAAATGCATCTGGAGATCTGGGAGGCTTCTTGCTGTCTGCTGACATTCAAATAATGGAGGTCTAAGGTGCCCGAGGCAGAAAGGTCCATAAAAGTCCACAAAAAACGTGTCAATATTCCTCCATACTGCTCGTCCAATGTATTCCAAGTGTCCTGAGTGGGTAGCATCCAGAATTTCCTCGAAACGAAGTCATTTAGAATGTTTTTAGAGCATAAACAGTAGTGTATAGGATTTCCTAAAAGCGCGCGCCTGCTAGTTCACGGGCCTACGGAAACCGCGGCAGACCAAACCAGATGAAAGTGCGCATTCAACTCATGCTCTTCCTCAACACTGAAGTCCTCAGACATTTTTCTTTCGTTGTTTCTTCCTTTGCACAGGTAAACAGCAAAGTTCTTCTTCTACGCTTGCATTATCAAGAGCAGACGCTGAATGCGCACTTTCACCTGGCTTGGTCTGCCGCAGTGAGTAGAAAATGAAGGCAAATCATGTTTTGGGTGTACTATTCCTTTAATATCAGGGTTAATATCAGGGTTGGGGTAAATGTCAAGGTTAATATCAGGATTGGAGTTAATTTCAGGGTTAATATCAGGGTTGGGGTAAATGTCAGGGTTAATATCCGGGTTGGAGTTAATGTCAGGGTTAATATCAGGGTTGGGGTTAATATCAGGGTTGGGGTAAATGTCAGGGTTAATGTCAAAGTTAATATCAGGGTTGGGGTTAATATCAGGGTTATTGTCAGGGTTAATATCAGGGTTGGGGTAAATGGCAGGGTTAATATCAGGGTTGGGGTTAATATCAGGGTTGGGGTTAATATCAGGGTTGGGGTAAATGTCAGGGTTAATGTCAAAGTTAATATCAGGGTTGGCGTAAATTTCAGGGTTAATGTCAAAGTTAATATCAGGGTTGGGGTTAATATTAGGGTTGGGGTAACTGTCAGGGTTAATGTCGGGGTTAATATCAGGGTTGGGGTAAATGCCAGGGTTAATATCAGGGTTTCTCATAATGTCAGGGTTAATATCAGGGTTGGTGTTAATATCAGGGTTGGGGTAAATGTCAGGGTTAATGTCAAAGTTAATATCAGGGTTGGTGTTAATATCAGGGTTGGGGTAACTGTCAGGGTTAATGTCAAAGTTAATATCAGGGTTGGGGTAAATGTCAGGGTTAATGTCAAAGTTAATATCAGGGTTGGTGTTAATATCAGGGTTGGGGTAAATGTCAGGGTTAATGTCAAAGTTAATATCAGGGTTGGGGTTAATATTAGGGTTAATGTCACGGTTAATATCAGGGTTGGGGTTAATATCAGGGTTGGGGTAACTGTCAGGGTTAATGTCAAAGTTAATATCAGGGTTGGGGTAATTGTCAGGGTTAATGTCGGGGTTAATATCAGGGTTGGGGTGAATATCAGGGTTGGAGTTAATGTCAGGGTTAATATCAGGGTTGGGGTTAATATCAGGGCTGGAGTTAATGTCAGGGTTAATATCAGGGTTGGACCGTTTAAATAAATGATAGTCAATGTAGATCCCCATAAGGATAGCAAAACAGATCAGTGTGTGTGTGTTTTTGCCTTTGCTAGCTGACCTAGATAAGCCAGGCAATCTGCTCCCCCCGCAGTGCAGGGAGTCCCCCGCCATACGTTCATGACTCGAGGGCCCTTCAGGGACCTCTTGCACAGTAGGAAACCAGACTGTCAGCAACATTCAAAGAGACTGAATATGTATAAATCTGATGTAATGATAAAGAAACATTCAAAGTAAATGTCCTCTTTCAAAAGTGACGAAGATATTCTGGGATTTCCTTTGGAACCAGCCTGAGACTCTGACCATGACCTTCACATTTAAAAACCCCAATAATTAGACTGGCACGTCATCACTTCAGTGAAAAGCTTTAGGCAAGCACAAAACTTTCATCACTGCTTTAAAGGTCCCCCAGGGGCCCCACTGTGATTCCCACACAGATCAGATCATAGAAACAGAAAAGAAAATGAACTCACAGCAAGGTACAGAGCGGCATAGACGCTGAGGGCCGCCTCCTTGGAGGGAAAGGTCTTGCGGGCCCTCAGGATGTCGTCTTGGTTCCCTGTGCAGGCCTCCTGGTGGCTGATGTAGCGCAGGGCCTGTTGGCAGCCAAGCGCAGTGTAGTTGGGCTTACACACCGTCAGGAAGTACGGCGCCAGGTTTCCCGTCACCACCTGCCCCGCGTTGACGAAGATGTCCACGGTGAAGAGGCCGAAGGCGTAGACTCCTGGGCAGAGGGGAGCCGATGGAACACATGAGACGGAGCCAAAGAATATTTGGTTTAATAACAAGAAGTGATGCATAAAAGAGTAAAAATAAACTTTTATGTTGAAATTAAATCCGAGTATTGATCAGAAATATCTGGAATCGATTTTTAACTTTTCCCAGCGTCTCTTTCGTAGACGGAAGTAAACCTTTTAAAGACGGTTCTAGCCTGCTTTCTGCAAAACCCTCTCAGTGTGCTCAATCATACCTGTTGCTTGGACTTCTTCTCTACCACAGTTTTTCCTTCCACTCAACTTTCCAAAGGTTTTTATCACCCTGCAATATGTGATTGTTCTGTTTGTTTATTGTCATGGCTTGATCAGTTGGTATTAAGTATTCAGCTCCAGCTATTATTATTTTTAGTAAAGTACATAAAGTACATTTCTGGATTAAAGTTCAATCAGATTTTCTTTTTTGAACCCAAACCCACGTCTGTGTTTCCACGGTAACCAGGCATATTTTCAGTTTTAAAGACGGCTGGTCTTCTCCAGTATGTCTGAAATAAGCAGCTTTGCATGAAGTCCATTAAATGCATAAATTCAACAAAAGGCCTATATTTATTTTCTTCCAAATCTTAAAAAGCTTCCATTAGAAGCTGCAGTCTCCTCCTCCAGCAGTGTCCTGCCTGCAGAGAGCAGGAACACAGTCTCAGCGTTAATGCTCCCAATCAGGCTTTATGTGTCAGCGACTGAAAGGCTGAAGCTGCTCCCCGTCTGCTGAAGCCTAATCCTCTGTCAGGCTGATTTGTCCAACAGGTGCTCAGTCAGGCAGCTTTAGCCACATTAGCAGCTTTTAAGTCCCTGTGAAGCTCTGAGCTGTGATTGAAAGGTTCCTTTTCCCCTGTCTTTCCTTCCATGGTGTAGCGCTGCTCTGCATGCTGACAGATATAAACACCAGCATAGTCAACCTCATTTTCAGGATGTGAGTGTTTTATGGAGGCCTTCCCCATTCTGACTCCATGAATGGACTCTTTGGACCAAGGGTGTAACTTTGCGATAAAAGTTGGTGGGGGCACTCTAAGGGTGGGGGCGCTCTAAGGGTGGGGGAACTCTAAGGGTGGGGATGCTCTAAGGGTGGGAGCGCTCTAAGGGTGGGGGCGCTCTAAGGGTGGGGGCGCTCTAAGGGTGGGGGCGCTCTAAGGGTGGGGGCGCTCTAAGGGTGGGGGCGCTCTAAGGGTGGGGGCGCTCTAAGGATGGGGGCGCTCTAAGGGTGGGGGCGCTCTAAGGATGGGGGCACTCTAAGGATGGGGGCGCTCTAAGGGTGGGAGCGCTCTAAGGGTGGGAACGCTCTAAGGGTGGGGGCGCTCTAAGGGTGGGGAATTCTAAGGGTGGGAGCGCTCTAAGGGTGGGAACGCTCTAAGGGTGGGAACGCTCTAAGGGTGGGAGCGCTCTAAGGGTGGGAACGCTCTAAGGGTGGGGGCGCTCTAAGGGTGGGGGAGTTCTAAGGGTGGGAACGCTCTAAGGGTGGGGGAGCTCTAAGGGTGGGGGCGCTCTAAGGGTGGGGGCGCTCTAAGGGTGGGAACGCTCTAAGGGTGGGGGCGCTCTAAGGGTGGGGGAGCTCTAAGGGTGGGAACGCTCTAAGGGCGGGAACGCTCTAAGGGTGGGAACGCTCTAAGGGTGGGGGCGCTCTAAGGGTGGGGAATTCTAAGGGTGGGAGCGCTCTAAGGGTGGGAACGCTCTAAGGGTGGGGGCGCTCTAAGGGTGGGGGCGCTCTAAGGGTGGGGGCGCTCTAAGGGTGGGAGCGCTCTAAGGGTGGGGGCGCTCTAAGGGTGGGAGCGCTCTAAGGGTGGGGGCGCTCTAAGGGTGGGGGCGCTCTAAGGATGGGAGCGCTCTAAGGGTGGGGGCGCTCTAAGGGTGGGGGAACTCTAAGGGTGGGGGCGCTCTAAGGGTGGGAGCGCTCTAAGGGTGGGAACGCTCTAAGGGTGGGGGCGCTCTAAGGGTGGGGAATTCTAAGGGTGGGAGCGCTCTAAGGGTGGGAACGCTCTAAGGGTGGGAACGCTCTAAGGGTGGGAGCGCTCTAAGGGTGGGAACGCTCTAAGGGTGGGGGCGCTCTAAGGGTGGGGGAGTTCTAAGGGTGGGAACGCTCTAAGGGTGGGGGAGCTCTAAGGGTGGGGGCGCTCTAAGGGTGGGGGCGCTCTAAGGGTGGGAACGCTCTAAGGGTGGGGGCGCTCTAAGGGTGGGGGAGCTCTAAGGGTGGGAACGCTCTAAGGGCGGGAACGCTCTAAGGGTGGGAACGCTCTAAGGGTGGGGGCGCTCTAAGGGTGGGGAATTCTAAGGGTGGGGGCGCTCTACGGGTGGGAGCGCTCTAAGGGTGGGAACGCTCTAAGGGTGGGGGCGCTCTAAGGGTGGGGGAGCTATAAGGGTGGGGGAGCTCTTAGGGTGGGGGTGCTCTAAGGGTGGGGGCGCTCTAAGGGTGGGGGAGCTCTAAGGGTGGGAACGCTCTAAGGGTGGGAGCGCTCTAAGGGTGGGAACGCTCTAAGGGTGGGGAATTCTAAGGGTGGGGGCGCTCTAAGGGTGGGAGCGCTCTAAGGGTGGGGGAACTCTAAGGGTGGGGGCGCTCTAAGGATGGGAGCGCTCTAAGGGTGGGGGCGCTCTAAGGGTGGGGGCGCTCTAAGGGTGGGGGAACTCTAAGGGTGGGGGCGCTCTAAGGGTGGGAGCGCTCTAAGGGTGGGAACGCTCTAAGGGTGGGGGCGCTCTAAGGGTGGGGAATTCTAAGGGTGGGAGCGCTCTAAGGTTGGGGGCGCTCTAAGGGTGGGAGCGCTCTAAGGGTGGGAGCGCTCTAAGGGTGGGGGAACTCTAAGGGTGGGGGCGCTCTAAGGGTGGGGAATTCTAAGGGTGGGAGCGCTCTAAGGGTGGGGGCGCTCTAAGGGTGGGGCGCTCTAAGGGTGAGGGAACTCTAAGGGTGGGGGCGCTCTAAGGGTGGGAGCGCTCTAAGGGTGGGAACGCTCTAAGGGTGGGGGCGCTCTAAGGGTGGGGAATTCTAAGGGTGGGAGCGCTCTAAGGGTGGGGGCGCTCTAAGGGTGGGGGCGCTCTAAGGGTGGGGGCGCTCTAAGGGTGGGGAATTCTAAGGGTGGGAGCGCTCTAAGGGTGGGAGCGCTCTAAGGGTGGGAGCGCTCTAAGGGTGGGGGCGCTCTAAGGGTGGGAGCGCTCTAAGGGTGGGGGCGCTCTAAGGGTGGGGGCGCTCTAAGGGTGGGGAATTCTAAGGGTGGGAGCGCTCTAAGGGTGGGGGCGCTCTAAGGGTGGGGGCGCTCTAAGGGTGGGAGCGCTCTAAGGGTGGGGGCGCTCTAAGGGTGGGGGCGCTCTAAGGGTGGGGAATTCTAAGGGTGGGAGCGCTCTAAGGGTGGGAGCGCTCTAAGGGTGGGAGCGCTCTAAGGGTGGGGGCGCTCTAAGGGTGGGAGCGCTCTAAGGGTGGGAGCGCTCTAAGGGTGGGGGCGCTCTAAGGGTGGGAGCGCTCTAAGGGTGGGGGCGCTCTAAGGGTGGGAGCGCTCTAAGGGTGGGAGCGCTCTAAGGGTGGGGGAACTCTAAGGGTGGGGGCGCTCTTAGGGTAGGAGCGCTCTAAGGGTGGGGGCGCTCTAAGGGTGGGAGCGCTCTAAGGGTGGGGGAACTCTAAGGGTGGGAGCGGGTGGGGGAACTGTAAGGGTGGGGGTGTCCTAAGGGTGGGGGCTGATGGACCTACAGCTGATCAACCTGAACGCTTTCAAAAGGGTTTATATTTTCCAAAAATTAGCTCAAGCATATTTAACATATACATAACATATTTGTTGAATGTTTTACTATTGTTGAGAACACAATAGAACCACAGCACTCTGATATTTATAGATCTAGACAGATGACTGCCTTTAGTGCTTTATTTTATAAAGGGCTCTAAAACATTAATGAAGAAAAAATGACGAATAACAACCGATACTGATGCTAACATTTATAGATCCTGCATCCCTAGAATGGATACAACTTCACTTTCATCCATCCATCCATCATCCATCCATCCATCATCCATCCATTAATCATCCATCCATCATCCATCCATCATTCATCCACCCACCCATCCATCCATCCATCCATCCTGCATTTGTTCATTAATTCATAGAGAAATAGTAATATAAACAAATGACTATATTTACATTTTTTTAATAAATAAAATAACCCATTTCACACAAAATTCAGCAGTCTGATGGGGAAGAAGCTGCTGCAGAACCTGCTGGTCCTGCATTGAATGCTGTGAAGCCTCTTCCCAGAGGGCAGCATGGTGGGGGGGTGAGGGGTCATTGATGATGTCACGGGCTCGGGACAGGCAGCGCTGGGATGAAATGTCTTTAATGGAGGGAAGAGGAGCCCCCATGATCCTCTCTGCTGTTCTCACCTTCTTCCAGTCTGAGGCGCTGCAGCCTCCACACCACAGAGAGAGACAGCTGCTCAGAACGCTCTCTATGGTGCTTCTGGAGAAGGTGGGGAGGATGGGGGGGGGCAGGTGGGCTCTCCTCATCCTCCGCAGGAAGTCCAAGCATGTGGGTGCTTTGGCGATCATATATACGGGTTTGATGTCTAGGTTGTATCGTTTTCAACGTCACAGTCTGAAATTATCAAGAGGAGCTGTTCATTGCCACTGCTCTGGAGTGCTGACATGGATGTATGGGTGAAGTGTCTTGACCAAGGACACTCTTGAACCGAGAACCCTTTCATTGCATGACAAACTCCTACATCTGATGCCCCTGTGGCCCCTAGCCCCAGTAATACCAAGGAGGAGGTCCTGGACATGTACTGCCCTAAGTCACAACAGACAGATCCTCGACCCAGAGCCTGGCCAGGCCAGCAAAGACTGAGGGATCCACTGAGGCCCAGCGGGTTCCCTCAGCTGCCAAACCCCAAACATCCAACAGGGCCAAACCAAAATCCCTTAATGCAGGGATTCCAGAACGCGTTCCAGAAGGGGTTCCAGAATGGGTTCAAGAAGTGGTTCCAAAAG